ACAGGCTAGGAAAGCCTCAGAATGGATGCACGTGTTGTTAGCAGGCACAGCTGTGTAGGAGCAGGCTTGGGCAATGACTAGTCTCTGCAGACTTTTCTCACGTTACTGCAGTAGCCGTTGGCTGCATGCTGACTCTTGGGCTCAGCGGCAGTGTGCATCTCATAGTCTCAATGTCTCTTTCTAACCATCTTGTCCCTTACCCAGCTCACTGCGGTCTGTTCTCTAGCTGGTTAGCCTCTGTACCCCGACCCTGGTGCCTCAGAAGCTTCTAGATGCTACATACAGCTGGCTGCTCCCCCCCTTGTGCAGAGCAGTGCCGCTGTCTTATCCGTCAAGCAGGCTGGGGGTTATACTTAGAAACTGGACCAGCAGTACGTTTAAGTTTCCCCTCCCCCCCCCCACAGGGTGCAAACTAAATCGCCTGAACTCAGTTGTCGGTGAATACGCTAATGCTTGTCTACAAGCAGCTAGAGACTGTGGGACGGATGTCCTTGACCTGTGGACCCTGATGCAGAAGGACAACCAGGTATTGTCGTTTTCTCAGTCCTTTCAGGATCACAGACATAAAGCTGGAAGGCTCTTCAGACAGGCATGGTGGTGCACACCTGTAATCCCAGAATGCGGGAGGCAAGGGTAGAAGGGTGCGTGGCTACATAAAACCGTGTCTCAGGACATACATGTCAGTCATGCTTTTCATGAAGAAGAGCATAAAAACCGGGCAGTCAAGAGGCCTGGAGGGCAACCAGAACCTCAGCTAGAGGTTGCCATAGTACACCATAAATGGCCAAATTAGTGCCTGTAAGAGCAGAAAAGAGCTCAGATAAAATGGCAATATATATTGACTAACAAAATCCACAGCTTGAGATGCCATCTCGTTGAATTATTTTGTCCTAGAATCCAAGAACAATACACAGGGAGAAAGTTAGTTGTGAGGCGCAGCGCTCAGGAGGGCAGCTGGAGGCTGCATATAGCCGCACATCCGTGCGCTGACAGAGGACGCGGCCGTCCACTATCTAGTTTTTTGGCAGCATTATCCACATGAGGCCCAAGCTAGAATCAAGGCACCCATCTTCCTGCATCCACAGAGTCCTGGGCAGCAGCAAAGAGGCCAGGTCTGATGCCTGAAACACGACTAAAACCGATAGGGAAGGCGGGCTTTCAAGTCAGGGGCTTGGTTCCAGCTACTGACACCTAGACAAGGCTGCACTGACAGGTTAGGGAGAGGACAGTGGCGACATTCAGGCGTCATTCCTGGTTCCTGGTCTGCTTTCAGCCCCTCCCCCCTTTTGAGACAGGGTCTCACTCCCCAGGCTGGCCTAGAACTTGCTTTGTAGCTGAGGATGACCTTGAATTTCTGAACTTCCCACCTCCACGCCTGGAGGTGAGTGCTGGGGACTGAGCCTGTGCTAAGCAAACAGTTTGCTGGGTCTCTTCCCTACTTTTTATTCCTTAGTAAAATGCTTGCTCTCTAGGGGCATTTCCTTGTGATGCTGAGGGACGGGGGGTGTGGTGTTTGAAGTGCTCCAGCAAAGGAGAACCCACTCTACCCGGGTTCTATTCTACACAGCTGTCTGGTTTTGCTATGTCGACTAAGGATAGCCCTCAGCCCACAGTCACCAAACCACAATACTAACCTTTCGCCCTCCCCTAATTCTCAATCCATTCCCGCCTCCACAGACCCGGAAGGAAGGGTCTGACGTTACAGCTGATCAGGTGCTGGAGAGCAGAGACCGTCAGTTCAGGATGCCCAGTAGCCGCTGACTTGAACATCACAAACTCCAAGGTTTAGGACTTCTCAGAGTAGTGTCCTGTCTATCTCTGGAGGCTCTCGGAGCCCCGGGACTCCCTCCAGTCAGCCTCGGCACCCTTCACTGAGCCTTGTTCCCGGAGTGGAAGGGCCACAGCAGGCTCAGTGCTTAATCTGCTCCAGGGCCAGCAGGATGGCTCAGTGGGAAAGGCACCGAACTGCCAAGCCTGCTGACCTGAGCCTGGTCCCAAACACCTCCTTGGTGGTTGGAGAACCAACTCCTACAAACTGTGCTTTGGCCTCCTTGTGCCACCATGACGTGTGTACCCTTTCCTCAGGCCCCCATACAAATAAGATGGCGTGAGAGTACAGGAGGGACGTCTGCTACCATTACCTAGTTTTACTCAAGCCTTTTCCAGTTTAACATAGTCAAGGTCCAGGACTAAGGGCATCTTCCTGACAGATCAGTAATTCGGGACCACCCAGGTGGAAAGGTCACTAGAACTGGAATTCTCATCTCTGAACAGTCTCCACGGGGATTAAGCAAAGATGCCTCAGAGTAAATCCTGGGTTTAGGCAGGAGTGATGGAAGCCTGGACTCCACACAGCCTTCCTATCCTAGTCTAAGTTCTTGTCACCGCCCACATCCTAGGAGGATCCTGCGCTTTCTTAACGCTGTGAATCATAGGCCCTCATTAAGCCTCTGAGACCCAGGATTATGGGTCTGTTGGACACAGGAGCACAAGCAGCACAGGTCTTGTAGCCTGTAGAGAAACTGAGCCCACTGTGGTCCCAGTCACTGGTCTGTGAACAACCCCAGGAAGCCACGTGACACGTTGCTCCTCTCCTCACAGGACTTCTCATCCTATCTATCAGATGGCCTGCATTTATCACCAATGGGAAACGAGTTTCTGTTCGTAAACCTCTGGCCGCTGCTGGACAAGAAACTCTCCTCTCTGCCATGGCTGCTTCCCTACTGGAAGGATGTGGAGGAAACAAAACCTGAGCTGAGTCTGCTGGGGGACGGAGACCATTAGTCAGCCTGGGAAACCTTCTCAAGAAGGGGTGGTTCGTGTCATTTGTGGGTACCACTTCCAGTTGGTAATTCACAAAAGTTCCAAGAATCCCTGTTCATGTACATAATCTCAAATATCTAGAAGCTAATTAAACATTTTTTCAAGATTAACATCTTTATATGCACTGGTGTTTTGCCTGCATGTATGTCTGTGTGAGGATGCCAGATTCCCCTGGAACTGGAGCTATAGACAATTGTGAGCTGCCATGTGGGTGCTGGGAACTGAACCTGGATCCTCTGGAAGAGCAGCTAGTGCTCTTAATCACCAGGCCATCTCTCCAGCCCCCTACCCCATTCATGACTTTTGACCAAAAAACCCACTAACGTTTGCCAGTGTAAATAACTTATTTTTCAGGGAAATGCTGTTCTTGACCCATTTTGTTTTGATGTTCAGTATTTATTGAAACAGCTATCAACGCCACAGTTACAGAATATACCCTGAGCAGCTTGTTAATCCTGTACATGGAAAAAAAAAAAGCCATTTTTGGTTTGTTTAAAAAGTCACAATTTTATAAAAATGGTTTTCTTATATTCTGCCAAAATTTTGATTCATACAAACACCCACACACCCTACTCACCTTATAGCAAATCCTCAAAATATAAGGCTACCATGGCTAGTTAAGAGCAAATACCACAAGGTACATGTTCAAGTATTAGTGTAACAGACATCCTCGGAGAGACAAGGCACAGGTCTGGTTAGTTGTCCTCAGAGATTACAAGTTATCTTGGTTAAAACGTGTTGGCTGGTGAGCACATTTCGATTCTTAGAACAAATGCTTTTGTAAGTAGACTTTATAGAAACCAGAATTCAGGCTAATGGCTTTCCTCCTTCACACAGTAAGTTCAGAGCATCCAGGATCCTGAAGCACTAAAGCCAGAGGTCGTGTGAGTATCTACTTGCTGGGTCTGGAGGTCGGTTCTGGGCTGGGCCCTAGGCGGAGAGTGGCAGCACCTGGCGGCCTGTAAGAGCGCCTGCTCACTCAGGCAAGCTGACGACAGCAGCCGCGTCCTTCCCATTGGGGGTTGAAGCAGGATAGGTTCCATGGATACGGAAATTTCTTACAGCACTGGGCTTTTTTATTTTATGTATGTGCGTATTTTGCCTGCATGTCTGTGCACCACATGCCTGCCTGGTGCCGCAGAGGTCAGAAGAGGGCATCTGATCCCCTGGGACTGGAGTACAGAGCTCTTAACAGATGGGGCCAACTCTGCAGCTCAATATTGAATTGTCTTAAGACAGAGAAACTGTCCAGTGAATGGCCTAACAGTTTGTAGCTGTTTGTGAGTAACAGCTCACATGGCTGTTACTGCAGACCTCACCTGAAGCTAGAGTCTTCATCCTGGGCAGGACCATCCTTAAGTCAATATGGTCTCAAGTGTTCCAGTGCCAGGACAGGCCACATTAGGGGACAATGTGCATATAACCTCTGCTTCTACTTGAAGGCAAAGAGATAAGTTTCCAGTTACCCTCACTAAGAACTGCCAAGCGCTTCACTGTGGCCAGGGGACCATTACAGTGTACAGAGACAGACTGCAGATGGTCAGCACTGTCACCAAGGACTCCATTCAGCCTTAGTTTCTGTTTTTGCACCACAGGTCAAAGGAGATTTTAGATTATAAATGAAAAAACCCCAAACCTAAAATGAGCCAGATTTACCTCACCCCTTCAAAGGGCCTACACCTACACAGGATGTCATGTGAAGGTCATGTCGTATGACCAGCATCTGCTAGGTTGTTTGTGTGTTCCTGGGGGCATTGTTTGGTTCAGGTCAGCTCTCTAGAGCATCTGTGCATGTATGTCCGTCCCGGAGCGGGGCGAGGCTCCTCATTAGCACTCTGTCTCCTTGCTGTCCACTCGGTTCTGGCGCTGCAGCTTAAAGGAGGCCGCCTTCTCACTCCTGGTGACTGGGTGGTCTGTGAGGTCCTCAAAGGACTTGGCAGCTGCACTGCTATTGGGGAAGGGGTCCTTCTCAAAGCCATCGTCGTCCACATGCGAGTCTGTGCTGGGGTCTTCCTGGATGGTGTCCATCCTCTGGTGGTCCAGTTTGGGAGCCGCAGACACTGGCGGCATCATGGAGGCCGGCTGCAGGGGCTGCAGACGACCTGGAGTCTGGGGTGCAGGAAACGGCTTGATGATGCGAACAGAGGCCGAATCCATGCTGCTCAACATCTCAATGTTCTGGGAAGGCATGGTCCAAAGGGTGGGGGAGAAATGAATCAAAGGTCACTGTTACATTGTTACCTTTCCCCACAGTAGCCCTGGGCGGTGCTCAAGGGCCGGGCCAGGCTCCCCCTTGTGTCTACCAAGATCCATGCCATAAGAACTGAGTGCTGAGAGGCTGGGTCAGCACCTGTTGTTTTTTGGGAAACCAGGATTCTTCTCAGCTAGCTTTCCACCCGTGTGACTAAGTCACTTTCTCAGGACTGCTCACACTCAATCCTTGGGGGGGGGGGGGACCTGAGGCCTGCTCTGGTTTTCTGTGTATACTTACACTGTGGTGAAACAGAGACAGGGATTCATACTGTTTGTCCAGTTTCTTATCCTACAAAGAACAGGAAGTAAAATGTCACTGAAACTAGGAGCCCAACCCTCAAGCAGTACCGCTTCCTGTCCACTACTCCAAGGCTGAGTGAACTCAGACCCTCTACCACAGGGCGGCAGCAGGGGTACGGCTCAGCACTGGGGCAGTGGCCCAGCACATGAGGCCTTGTTCTACCTGCCACCCCTCCACTACCACAAAGAACCCCCAGGGACAGGTTCACTAGCTGAGAACACACGTCAGCTCCCAGGAAAGAAGTGCAGCTCTACACAACAGTGGCGAGGGTTCACAGAGGAGGGGCTTTAAGTCCTGCTTTCAAAGATGCCTTACACTGTGGGTAGAAGGACAAGTGGGTCTGTGTGCAACACAATCAGCTCATATCCACAGCGCCTGTGCACTCAGACAGTTGGCAAAGGTTAAGGTTCGTGGCCTCCCTCGGTCCTGACTCCGCCGGCCCAAAACATAGCCTTTCACAGAACTGAATCTTGATCCCCACATTGTATTTCTGCGGAGGCTGAATGCTAACTGACAAAGGGAAAGGCAGCAACCCAAGAACTGGGCCACAACTTAATGTCTGGTGACATGAATGCATTCTGTGGCTAGAAACAAACCACCAAGTGGTTCTGCTCTGAAATCAAGACCAGCTTCATGGTCCACATGTACACCTTTCAGTGAACACAAAATCTGCTCAACATTGCAGCAGCAGCACTGGGGAGGGATGCCACTGCTGTCCTGAGACGCATCTTCTAACAAAGCCTCAAGCCCATCGCTACGACAGCAGCTCTGCTTTAGTATGAGTGCCCAGTGCCTTCCACACTGCAAGAGTCAGGAGGCACTGAGAGCTTCAGACACCAAGCCTCATCTTTCATCTGTAAGGCACCTACTCCCTATTCGTGCAAGGTAAATTTTTTAAAACTCAAAATGTATAAAGTGCCTGGAGTTCTAAAGACAAAGTCTAATTTAACATGGAACTTTTATTTGTGAAGAGAAGACTGTCAACAGTGTACACAGCACATGGGGAATGTCTGCAGTGTTTGACCTTGTTCCCTATAACCAGGCCGAAACAGTGCTCCTGTTGACTGTACAAGTCACAGGCAAGTCCAGCTAAGTGTTCTCCTGTGTTTAAAGTATAAATTTAAGAACACTTTAAAAACTGTGTGTTGTGTGTGAGTGCGCCATAGCCTACAAGCTAAGACATGCCTGTGCAGGTAAGAGGACCACTGGGGAGTCAATTCTCTCCTTCCACCATCTAGGTCCTGGGGAAAGAGCATAGGTATCTACCTGCTGCTGTGTCTCATGCTGACGGGGACCCATGAGGTCACTATGGAGCTGAGGATAACTTTGAGCTCTTGGTCCTCCTGAGTGCATGCCCTAGTTTACTCAGTACTGGGGAGGAACACACAGCCCTGGGCAAGCTTCAGAAACCCTCTACTAGCTAAGTATCCAGCTCCCATTTGGCTCAAAGCCCATCAGGCAGGCTCCGAGGTTCTGTCACAGAACACTGTCAACAGCACTGGCAACACTCACATCTATCTTTCAACCTGCAGCTTCTCGACGGCTCTGTAAAATATTTGATCACTTACCACACAGTGGACAAGAATGCTGAAAGGAATCCAGAATATCAAGGAGAAAACCAGGACGGACCCTACGATGTTGTCTGCCAAAAACTTTCCTGTGAACAATTCCAAAGAGTAAACGTCTCAACCACATACCTCACTACGAAACACTCTTGAGTAGCATGGCCAGGCTGTGCTGGGGGTGAAGGAACTAGAGAGTATTATGCCTGCTTCCTGTGTTCACAGTGCCAAAGAGACACAGCACACCATGCTTAGGAGACAATACTTTTATTACCTGAAGATTACTATTTTTATATTAGAATTCTAGGGGGTTTTGCCTTTTGCAAAACCTGGGACCTACTGGTAAATAGGATCACAAGACTGAACCAAGCTCAGTTGGGCCACTCTCTGAAAACTCACGCTTGCAAGAGACACAAGGACGGATGAGTGAGTTTTGTCTTAGCCAATAAAGCATTTTTTAAATATAACTTTGTATGTGTGTGGTTTTTCAGGACAGGGTTTCCATGTTTAACAGCCCTGGCTTTCCTGGAACTCACTTTGTTGACGAGGCTGAACTCAAACTCAAGAAGTCCTCCTTCCTCCTAAGAGCTAGGGTTAAAGGCATGTGCTACCATGCCCAGCTTCTAACCATTACTTTTATGTATTCTGCCTGCACATATGTCTGTGCACATATGAATGCAGTGCCCTGGAAGGTCAGAAAAGGATGTTAGATTCCCTAGAACTGGCATTTCAGATAATTATGAACCACCACATGGGTGCTGAGAATTGAACCCAGATGCTCTGGAAGAATAACCAGTGTTGTTAACCCTGAGCCATCTCTCTAATCCCCAAGAGAGTTACTTCATAACAACTATGTCTTCTGTCATAGGATCACAGCACAAATTCTGCACCACGCCTGAGTTGCCATGGAAACCCACTCAGCTCTTGGTAAATAGTACAGGAAGTATTTCACTTACCAAAAGTGTTGATGCTCAATTGGTCAATGAAATCCCAAAATCGCTCAATTACATCCTGTACTCGTTTTTCACATTTGCCCTGTAAGGAGAAGACATACTGTGCTATCCCAAACAACACGTTTAGAACTAATGAAGCCGCAGAAAGACAATGGGCACAGAAATAACTTCACTGGGTGGCCCACCTTGAACACAGGATGGTCAGGTAATTAGCACTTTCACAATTAGTCCCTTAGAAATATCTGGTACACTGGTGGGGATGAGAGTGTTCAGACTGGTATCCTGTGTATCTTAAAACTGGGCTTGTCTATTTTCCTAGTGGCTAAGAAGAAAGAAGTCTGTTGCCATACCCGGCCTAAAAGTCCACTCTCAGAATAACAAGATAAGGCTCAAGAAAACTGTCATCTATGGGGCTGGAGAGATGGCTCAGTGGTTAAGAGTACTGACTGCTCTTCCAGAGGACCCGGGTTCAATTCCTAGCACCCATATGGCAGCTCACAACTGTCTGAAGATCCAGTTGCAGGGGATCTGACACCTTCACACCAATGCACATAAAACAAATAAACCATAAAAAATATTTTAAAAAGAAAAAGAAAACTGTCATCTAGGAGTACCCAGTTAGAATGACAGCGATTATATACATGGTGGACAGGACGGCTTTCTATGCTTAGTACTTGATTTTGCAATCAGAGCAATCCAACCGCAGATGCTCCCTTTTGATCTTTCTGACCAGTGCCTGCTTTCATTGAATGCCCACAGAGGAAGTGGGCAGGTGTTCTAGGGTCACTGGAGTTTGAAACTGAGCTCAGAGACAGAAGACCTGGGGAGGAAGCTCACGTGTTATTTGAGACCAGATCTTGGCAGTAACCCTGGCTGGCCCGGAAGTCCATGTGAGAGCAGGCAGGAGCGGAGCCGTAGGGCTGGCAGTTGGCTTAGAGCCCTGGTTCCCTGGCCCGGACAATGGACACAGACTACAAAAGTGCTCAAGCTGTGACTGACTCTGTAGCACTGAGGAGCAAGGACCAAGGCTGCTTAGGTTGCCTCAGGCAAACCCCGGGCCCTCTGCAGACGCAGAATTCCACAGCAGGACAGACTCCCAAAGTACAGAAAAGTTGGAAATAATACTTACATTCATGTCGCAAAACCCCACTGTACAGGGCTTCCCTTTTCTCAAAAATAAGTTCTTCTGCTCTGCATCAACATAGGGCACACAGGGGCCAGAGAGGTTCCTGCAGCACACCTTGCATGAGTTGTCAGTGTCTGAAAGAGAAACATGCAGCTGACAGGAGTCCACCACAGGCTTCCTCGACTCCCCGTCTCTGACCTCACTCCCAGATGTGAAAAGCTGGTACTGCACAAGGCTGAGGGTTCATCACATGGCAGATCTGCTGGCTTGGGATCCAGGTACAGAACCATGAGAAGAAAATGGGCTGAAATGGTTTCTGAATTTATAATTCCTCGGCTTTCAAGTTAAAATAATTATTAGCTGGGTGTGGTAGCACACATCTTTAATCCCACAGAGGCGGGCATCTCTGTGACTACAAGGCTGGCCTGGTCTACAGAGTGAATTCTAGGACAGGCAGGGACACAAAGTGAGATTCTGAATAGAAAAGTCTGATTAAAAATGACAATGTCCTCTCTGTCCAAATCTGTATAATGTTCTTGCAAATGTGTCCCTCTGACCCAGCATTCCTAGCTCCCCGTCAGATTCCTTCTCTGACTCCTCAGTGTAAAGCCTATCCTGCCCTGGGCCAATGTAGCTGTGACACAACTGTGTACCTGTGGTGTGGAGCTGAGTGACTGCCAGTGAGTGACCTGAGCACCAGCCTGGACGGGACACCAGCTGGGCTAAGTCAACAGTCAGTGTAGACACCCAGCTAGAAAAGCTTACCCTCCACAGTCTGAACTTGTTCTAGGAGGCAATCTAAGTTTATCTTCAGGAAGAAAGCCAAGCAGAACACAAAGCAAGCAAAGGTTTACTGAGACTGTCTTTCCAAGGCACTGCAAGCCTGCTGTCATTCACTCAATCATTTACTGGCAGCTGTGCTGTCTCTGATGTACTGTGGCTCAAACCAAGGGCCACGTGCATGCATGCTAAGCAGGTTCTCTGTTGCTGAGCTGCACACCAGCACTTGGAGGAACCGCTCAGTCCAGTGCATGAATGAGTTCCCAGCCTCATGATTTAATGGTGACGTCTCTATATGGAACAGAGAACTGCCATCAATCTACCAGGTCCACAGTGGAGTGGGAATTTGGAGCCTAGCCAGACCCTGGATGTCCTTAAGCCTCCCTTCAGGCCTAGTGATTCCAAAAATAAGAGCATGGGAACCCAAGGAGAACTGTGAGGCACTAAAAAGGCTGCTTTCCCAGCCTGCCCAAACAGGGGCGAGAGGGTAGCAGGCCTCAATGGCATCATCAAAAGTTTCACCTAGGGGGTAAAGTAGGTAAAGGCACTGGCTGCCAACTTGAAAACCTGAGTTTTTATTCCTGAGATCTATATGGTTTGAGGTGAGAACTGATCCCACAAGTGATCTTTTGACTGTAGGTGCATGGCAGGGGTTGGGGGCACACAATTCTGAAAATCCCACCTACTGGACTTAGATCCTAGAATGGCTTTGGCTAAGTTCAAGCGTTTCCTGCAAGCCTGCATGGGAACAGGGCTACTGCTGCCTTTGTGCTTTATATGGCATGTGGGGGGAGGGACAGTTCCCCCACTCTCCAGTGCCTTCCCAATCTAGGAAGACACTAGTGTGTCTTGCTGCTTTCCTCATCCCCTTGTTTGGTTCTCCAAACTTGGATGAGCAGCAGGGAGCAACAGACAAAAAACGGAAGCTCTCCAGCCACAGAACTCAGAAACCACTCACCGATGCACGCACAAGACTCCAGCTCCTGCTCTCTCTTGCAGAAGGGAATGCATTTTCCAGCCTTGCACTTTCCAAGGTCCAAGCACACAGTGTCATCTTCCGCATCTCCTGGTGGGGGGCACTCACTGCTATTCCCTGGAGGCAAACACCAATTAAAACACAGTCCAGGTCAATAGTTCCCAGGGCACAGCAGTCACCAAGCACTAGCAAACAGCAAGGGCTTAGGGGACTGCTTTGACCTGAAGGAAACTTGACCCTGATTTTCAAATACATGTTCACACACTACAGGATACCTGGAGAAGCAACAGAAACACATACCTGTGCAATAAGACACGCCTTTGCAAGTAGCATTAATAGCCTCCTGGCACTTCTTCTGGGCTGTCTCAAACTGACAATTTTTACAGCAAGGACTGTTCCTATCACTATGGAAGAGCAGACAAACACTATTCAATCCAATGACAGCCCAACATCTAAGGCTATGGTTGTGTTAGTGACCTGAACACTGAAGCACACTTGGACCCCAGGACCAAGTTACTATTGCACATCCTGACTCCTCTGGAGCTATCTGCACTGAGTGTGTCCCTTCCTGACATGGGAAAGGCAACATCAATGCTACACCACAGCAAGAAACAGTACACACAGCAATCACCTTTTTGGTATTCTTGGTTTTCATTAGCTAGTTAAGAAAAAAACCAGGGATACACCAGTGGTTATGAAACAAAGCAACCTGAGTCCCATCCCACTCCCTACTAGAACCTATAAGTTAAAAGGCACAATATACAGATAGATAATTCACCAAACACTGGTCCATCAGGCACCTAAAAAATAATGTAAGTACCTACCAATCTGGAATCTGCTTAATGTCATTAAACAGTACTCTACAATATTCTATTACATGGATACACAATAACAATTTGTATCCTAATATTACCATCTTGGATTGTTCCAATTATTTTGCTGCTATAAAAGACACAGCCATGAGTAACCTTGCTGAATCAACTTTTTTGTTTAAGATTTTTTTTTTCCCAGATGGGGTCTCATTGTGTAGCTTTGGCTGTCCTGGAGCTCACTATGTACACCAGGCTGGATTTGAACACACAAAAGATCTGCCTTCATCTGCCTTTCAAGTACTGAGATTAAAGGCATGCCACACCATGTCTGTCTTTAAAAAAATTCTTAAACTCCACTGATATAACTAGTAAAGGCAGTCACTACCAAGCTTGATTTTAAAATAAAAAATAAATCTTAAGCACTAGGGA